TATATATATATATATATATATATATATATATATATATATATATATATATATATATATATATATATATATATCTCAACTTTATACTCCTAAAATCCTAACACAGTACATTGAAGTTTGTAATGTGACAATCTGTGAAAGTCAGACCTGAAGAACCCCCCCCCCACACACACACACACACACGCACACACACACACAACTTTATTTATAGTTTAAGGCAGATAATAGACGGTAGTGTGCAGTAGAAAAAAGCAGAGCCAATATAGAGAACAGGCAGAAAAAATTACAAGAAGAGAAAACAAAAATAGCAGGCAATGCGGCCACACAGTTTGTGGCACTGTTGCATTGCAGCATGAGGGTGTTGTGTTTTGGGTTTGATTTCACGGCATGGGGTCTTTCTGCATGGAGTTTGCACGTTCTCCCCCCACATGCCTGGGTTCTCTCTGGATTCCTTGGCTTCCTCTTATAGTCCAAAAACATGACTGTTAGGTTAATTTGATTATCTAAATTGTGAAGAGTGTGTGTTTGCATGGTTGTGTGCCTTTGTGTGTCTCTGTGTTGCCTTGCGACTGATGTCCTCTCCAGGGTATCTCGCCTCCCATAGACTGCTAGGAGCGGCCCCACAGCGACCCTGTCAGAATAAGAGTGAGAAGATAGATGGATGGAAAGCGGAATTAGCCAAAAATATATAAATGATTAAATAAACAATAAACAGGTGCTAAGGAATAGTCTTCCTTGGTAAAATTGAATTAACTTCTTTCAACAGTAACAGTCCTTTGTAGAATTTATCAAGATTGCCTTCTAGAACAATGTTCTCTTATTTAAGAAAATATAACAAGTCCCATATATGATGAGTATAAAAGCGGGTGATGGTCATTCCCATTTAATTAATATTACTGTATGTGAGACAAGAGTCATAAAAGCAAGTGATGATACTAAGTGGACAAAAGTAGTTGAATGGGAACAGAATTAACTGAATTAGGACCAATCCTTTTACCAGCTGCACTGAATATAATTTTAAAATTAGTTCAGTGTTTTAAAACACTCTTTTGAAATAATTTAAAAGTTCTAGAGAAAGCTTGAAAGTGTGAATTGAATCAATACAGGATGTTGCTTGCTTTTTCTTGAACAGATTTGAGCTAAACAAGATTTTGAGCATCCCTCCTAGTGTCACATCTTTTGGAAAGGAGACCTACTTGTCTTTTCAGTTGGTCAACCTCTTTGTTAGTAAACCTCTGATCATGTTCATTAGCAGCTTCTCCCAGGCCAGTGATGAAAGATGCAAATAAGGCGATTTGGTTCTTCAAGGGTGCCAAAGCCCCCTTAACCGCACTTGATCTGCAACAATAGTGTCAAATCTTACAACGTCATTGATATCACTTTGATAAGCAATGAGCTACTTACTTTTGGTGTACCCAAAGCCTCATGCTCGGACATGCTTCTTGTTGTCATACTTGTGTGTTCCTCCAATATACGTGCCAACAGTACCTGGATAATTCGTGGGGAATTAAAGACCAGTGCAGATATGATGTTGGCAGTAATGGTGATGAAAAAAACAAACAAAAAATATCACATTCCAGGGGAACCTCCTCAAATCATGTCTTACACCATCAAAGCTCAGCCCTGAATGCTATTTAATTGTTCTGTTAAATGTCCAAAAATTTATCTCAAAATAAGTTACATTACTTATGTTTGCAATAACGTTGCATACCGCAAATCTTTGTTTACTAAACAAATGAGTGCATAGTTAAAACTTGGCGAAGAAAAAGAAATCCTAATTTATGATTTGAAAACGTTGGGCGGCTGTATTGTTTGGAGTCTCCTGCAGATAGCAGGTCTTTCTGAGGAGAAACATCTTGTAGAGAGGAAAGAGGAGGTAGCAGGGGTCATCAGAAGAGTTATTGCTCTGATAGAGGAGAGCGGGAGCTGTCCCAGGGCATTTAATTCTCTCTCTTCCTCCTGCTCTCTCAAGATTGATCGCCTTTGTAGTCTTTTGAATCTCCTCAACTGTTCCTATGGTAACACACTGGGGTAACACAATATTAGTGTATTAGGCTTATCTCTCCTCTGGCCGTCATCCAGACACATCTTACCCTTTTTTCCTCCTACTATCTGTGTAATTGAATTGTAAATGCTCTGTTAGCTCTCCCATAAACATGTGCTCTCTAAATGGCTGCAGACCCCTTAACCATGCAACTTTCTGGTTTGTTGGCCGTTCAGCAACCAAATTTGGATCCATTGAGATTCTGCTCCCTGATGTCTGAACCCGACTGATGGAATTCCCTGATTGCAAGTAGAAAGTGAGAGACTAATTGTGTTATCTTGGTATATCTCCAGCACAGGTTTCATAAGCATAGACCTGGTCTCTAATGTCTATAATATCCTCGCTGGGCCCAGTCGATAAATACGGCCACGCTATCGGATAACTGGGCCATGATCAGGCCCATGTGTCCCCTGCGATGTTCTCAATCCGGGTCTAATCACATTACCGCGACCATGTTGACTTTCCGCCAATTGGAAATCTCCGTACTGTAACCCCACACCTCAGAGGCGCAGATCTGGATGGACTCTTCCTGCCCAGCATTTAGAGTGGGAGAACGACAAAGGGGGACTGAGTGGGATTCTGACAGGCATGTAAGAAATACACAGGCAGGGAGGATGGGCAAGGGAGATGAAAGCTGATACAGTATTGATGTTGTGTGAAACTTACCAGTGAAAAGTTGAAAGATTTATGTTTCTAAAGCAAAACTTGTTCTAGTATAATTTGACCTTCTCTCTATGTGAATGCACCAAGACACATTTCTTTGTGGTTGTATGATATTCTGCGACTAGAGGCACTGGTTGTAGGGTTCTCCCTCCCCTCAGAAAAAGCATGCCCCGAGCAGAGCACAGGCTAATGAAGGCTAATTGATTTTGTGGTGGGCCAGAGCAGTAGGGAGGACTGTCTCTGGTGTAAATAGTTAATGAGCCTAAGGACTGCTGTGGCCCCTGGGGGACTCATATCTGGCTCTGAGCTCTGTTTGTGCTCTTTGGGCTGAAGACTCTATCGCTGTGATTCTTTGCTGTCCAGATTTTACCCCATAAGTGCGGTCGTTTAAGTGGTAGAGCATAGCCTGATGGTGGAATAATTGACACGCCTGCCTTTGCTTAGTGCTTAGAGTCACTGTCTAAGAGTTGGAATGTTTTATTAATCTTGTTTCAAGTGTGTTTTTTCTCCTTGTTTAGGACTGGGTGCTCATGGTGCCGGGTGTGGTTGAATTCTGCTCTGTTGTGGTCCAGGGAATTGAACAGTACTTGTTGTGTGCTGGAAGTTGTGGGATAGTTGACCCTCACAGCGTGGAGGAAACACAGCAGAGATGAAGCCAAGTTCCACAGCTTGCTGGCCAAAGCATTACATCACTGCTCTGAGCCAGTTCTCCACAGGGTCTTGGAAAGCACTCCTGCACGCTTGCACATACATTTCATGCCTCAGGCTATGTGTTGTTGTCATTTTGCTTAGTGATAGATGCTTAGAAGGCAACAAACTAACATCCAAACTGAGAGAGGAAATAAGAAAATTAAAAAGAGATGTAGTAAGTATTGCACGTGCATGATGAACATGTGGAAGTGATAAAAAACGAATTCACTTTTTGTTTTTTTTACTCTGTTACAAGCGTTATATTAAGGCCCAAATGTTTTGATATCATTAAGAGTTCCCTCTTAAGCTTGAAAAGTCTCAAAATGGAGTATCTATTTTATTAGTTTGTAGCTTTCCATAAGCAGAGAGAAAAAAACAGGATGGATTTCATATTTCATATACAGCTGATATTTCTCTCCAGGATGGAGTCACAGCCAAACAGGAACAGATGAGGCAAAGCTACTATGAGAAAAACCAGAGAGAGCATAGCATTAGAGATTGAACTAACAAATACTGCAGAATAGGAGAACAGAGATAGAATGAAGCAGAATGATGAAAAGGGATCCCTATGTCCTCCAGCAGTCCAAGCCTATAGCAGTATAACTATAGAGATAGAAAGAATATAATGATTAACTGTATCAAATGCAGCACTGAGAACAAAAGTACAGAAAAGTATAGATAAAA